ACTGCACTTTGGAAAGCATTCAACAGTCTCTAAGAATTGTGAAGCATTCTGTATCCAAAGTTTTAAATTATCTATGAGAACTTCATGAACCATTTCTGGAACTAATTTTTAATAAACGGCTATACAGATGGTACCTTGCAATTCAACCTGAATCTGTTGCTGAACTGGGTTTGTATGGCAACCTGGTCAAATTGTAAGACACTACCTGAAATTCAAAAATTCAAGTACAAAAATTTAAAAAAAAAAAATGGCCAAAGCCTGGTTGAATTGTGGGTACAAGGGTCAAATTGCAAGTCAACCTCCCTGCAAATTCAACCGTCAAATTGCAGGACATTCAAATTGCAAGGTACCACCCGTACAGTACTGTATTTTCAAATTTTGCAATCAAGATTTCCAGTTGTGTCCTGGGCTGACTATTGTGCTTAAATCAACCAATGTAACATGGTGTCAACTGTCAGAATTGCTAACAACTAGTATTCAGGAATTTTGGAAGCTATGTATTCTTCTTGCATTGTGTAATGAACAAGTGATGTATACCATTCAATCTCTCCAAGTCAATATGACGTCCAAAAAATTAATTTCAAGACCTTCTGAGTTGTAAACAAGGCATGATGAGTGATGTCTATGATGAAGGAACATAATTTTGTGGCCTAATCATCAAATTTAGTCATCATTCTTAAATGGCCTACGTGTACAATGTTGCCAATTTATTTTTGGAAAGCAGTAAAATAATAACTTGGATCTGTTTTATTTGTTTCTTTGAATGTACAATCTAAAATTCAGTCTCATTTTATTTGCACAAAGGCCGTGACAAATTCAAAAACAGGAGGTTATATAGCCAAAAACGTTCAAGTTAGGGAGATTTAAAATGTGTTTTTATCGATATTTTTCAATGATTCAGAGAAGAATCAGGGAGGTTTTTGTCTTGTACAGGCTGAACTGCATCTAATACATGTCTGGCACTTATTCATTCACAAACAAATTGTTGGCAATTAATTCGAAAATGAATTTAGTTGTTGACTCGTCTTCAAACAGGGTGTAACCTACCCGGCATGTCACGGGATTTGGCGGCACTGGGCCCCACCATTGGAACGATCAAGGTTGGCAACACTAGCATTCTGTGGGTCCTACGGCGGGGCAGTCGTTGGGATGCCTCTAGCTGGTTACCTAGTGGAAACCTATGGCTGGGAAACACCCTTTTACTTCTACGGTGAGTCAATTTAAAGATAATAAACTGTAGACTTTTTAAAATCTATCATTTGTATTAGTCCGAATACGACAGGGCATTTTTCTGAGGTCGTTAATTGCAGAGTTCGTTTCAATTTTTAGTCCCGATGAACCTTACGTATTTTATTTTTAAGGTTCATTGTTTTTTTTTCAACTGCAACATACGGGAATGGGAAGTTCGAAACACCCCAAGGAAAATGAAGCATCTTCAAAAGACTTGATTAGCTTATGTTTTCTCCCATTCTTCGAAACATTTTATATGTACTGTACATTTTATGTATATTGAATGAAACTCCGCCTTCTTAAATTAAACACGTGTAGATTGCTTTTTAATAAAAATTGATAACGCATCCAATATTGTACAATAATTTCGTTTAGCTCGGGGTACAAATGCATTAATTGGCAGTCGCAAATAACTAGATATTGTTTTCCTTTCGCCGATTATTTATTGCAAGAAATGGCCAATTCGATTATACTCGATATGCGCAGAAAGCCATTCATGCCATTTGCCCACGACTTCACGTGGATTTTAGTGGGCTTTCACTAAAACGTCTCATACGAGAAAATTATGATCATTAAAGTACGATATTAATTTGAAGCGTCTGACGTGCTCACATATTCTCCGACGAAAATCTTTGCATATATTTCATCAGTATCAATTCAATGAAAAAGAGAGCCATTCTTGCGCTAGGCTTTAAAAAAATCATGCTGCTCTGTCGGGTCGTGTTTATGAATATACACTTCACATTTTTTGTGGATTCAAAAGCGTCTGAATTTTGACCGGAGACTAATTTCCCTTCCTTTTATGTTGACTTTACTGTATTCAAAATTATATATCAGGTACAGTGTTCAACATCCTCGTCGATCGGGAGACTTTTATTTTTTTAATTTCAGAGCTTTGAACTTCAAGTGCTGTATAGTGTACAGTAGTGTACACCGTAATTTATAGACAAGTCTCATGATTTGAAAAATGATTCAGCTCGAAGCTGATATGAATGCTGAATCATGATGAAACAGTTCGAAAGGAAAAAAAAAAACTCTTAAATTTTGTATGGCAAGCAAATCAAGAACGTCTCCGAAGAGAAGGAGAAAAATACGAAAAATTCAAAATCATTGATGCGAAAAGAGAGAGAGAGAAAAGTTCTGCCGCATGTCCACATATATAGAAGCATTCGAGATGAGATTTCCTCCCCGGAATATAAATTTCCAAAATGCCGGTCGTTTCTCCGCTTTCAAACGCTTCACGTCAGACCCCGAAAGAGCATTTCTAAATGCTTCGTGCACACGACACCGACACCGACGTCGACACCAGGTCATCCAAGCGTAACCAGGAAAGGGAAACAACGTCAGCAAGACAGAGAGAAATAACAACGAATATAGGGAGATAAAGCAGGAAGCAACGGAGAAAACGGCGGGGTTTTCAGGAAATGAACTTTTGTTCCGCACCCCCAAACGCCGAGCTTTTCATACTAATGTAAAATGATGTTGATGAGGTGGGCGCCTGAACGGTTGCTCAGAAAATCGCATCCCTATAAATCTCATTGTAAAATTATACAGTATTTGGTGTGAGAGTCTTGGTTTTGCACAAAAAAAAATCGGTAAGATACTGCAGCATTTATCTTGAGTACCACATGCAATTTTTCCTGAAGGAAAACAAGTTTAACCCTTGTGCGGCAAAGTCTGGATATATTTTCAAAATTTTGTGTCACTGAGAACTGGGAATTTTAAAAATGCAACTTTTGTACAAAGGCCTAAATTGGGAAAAAGTCCAACATTTTTTTCTAATCCAGCAGAAAATTTTGGATGAAAAATAAAAAAAAATCACTCACTGGGTGGCGTTTTTTCCTGCATTCTTTCCTGGGATTGATATTGAACGCAATATCAATCCCATTCGTGTGATGAGTGAAATTTGCAAGACCTTCACAACAATAGAAAAAAAACATTGCTTCACGCAAAAAAATAATCCTGCCGATTTCCTCAGCCATCAAACTATGAGCCATCAAACGACTGCCAACCTCAGGGTAACTCTTCATACCCCTCAGACCCATTTAACAGAGGGCTCAATCAAGCAAGATACGTTTTTGTGCAGTGTCTAGTCATAAAACGAACTACTGCAGCTAAGGGTTCTGCTTTTGCCTCTGGTTCATGTTCCTCAGCATGCATTATTGTTATGCTTGAGAGGCCGCTTTACTCCCGACTTTTCATGAATGGCAATTTGTTTAATGGATGTACTCAGAGAAGCCGGGGTTCTGTCTCATATATATATATATGGAACAGAGGAGAGAAAAAGAAAAGAAATGGCAAATGCGGAGATTGAATTTAAACCTCAAATTTAGGAGTCCGCGTGAAAGTAAACCGGAAATGAATTGTAAGAAAAAATGAAAAATGTAGAAAATGACATTTTTCAAGGCAAAGCGGATGAGGAATATTCCCGCTTCGCAGAATTTTGCGTCTATGTCGTTAAATATTGCTGAATGCTTGTTTTTTTTCTTCACAGGTGTTGCTGGCTTAGTGTGGTACATGTTCTGGCTCTGGTTGTCCTTCGAGAAACCTGCAAAGCATCCGACAATCTCCGACCAGGTAAGAAGAAAATTTCATCCTTATTTTAAATGCATTTATATACAAGATTGAAAAGAAATTGTTGGGTGAATGTTTCAGGAATTGTTTTACATACACGAATCGTTGGGAACGACGGCGTTGAAATTGCCGGAACCGACTTTTCGCACAACTCCGTGGAAGGCATTTTTCACTTCGATGCCGGTTTATGCAATTTTGGTGGCCAATTTCTGCCGATCCTGGACATTTTACTTGCTTCTCATCGACCAAGCCACATATTTGAAGGAAGTTTTCGACTACAACCTCAAAGAGGCGAGTATATAATTAGACACACTACGCGAGGCTTCAATCATCAAATGGCCAAACCCGATTTATCAAACTTTTTTTTATAAATACGGATATTTTTGATATAAACAAAATACTGTAAAATCTCCAACTACTTTAGATTTGATTCAAACGTTTCGTCGGCATATTTTTGCATTGGGAAATTGAAATGACGTGCAAAAAATCGAATAAAAACACTGGAAACCAGTCTAAACATTTTCTGATAGCGTTGCATTTTGTAGCTCAAACTTCGGGATATCTATCTCAAAAATGGACATTTGACTATAAATACTTTCAGTGAGATCAACATGAAAATCGTCATTAGGTATTGTTTCATTGGATCACGACGATCAGATCGAAACAATTTTAAAAATAAATTCAAATACATTATTTTTTCTGTTTATCCTGGGTGAGCACAAATGTGGACGAAAATGTGGTAATTAAGAAATGTCATTCTGCAGAAATTACGATTTATTCTCAGCACGGAAAGCACCGGAATTACAAAATAAATGAAACCCTCTATATTGGTTTTCTCATGAGCGTCAAAAAAAATGTTTGTAATTTTTCTTTGATGATGGGTTGAATGAACTCCAGCAACTTTTATGAGCGATAAGAATAATGTTCGCAGCTGAAAAGAAACCTAAACGTTGATCAACCAAACACTGTGACCTGCTTCGACCGCAAAACAGCGCAACCAAAATCGACCCGCCTATTCATTCAAGCTCCATATATACAATTCCACAAAAAAAAATAAATAAAAATTCCGCACCCATCGTTAATCACCGTGTCAAACGCAAAATCGACCCGCAAACATCCCCAGGCATCACAAAAGGCAAAAGTGAATGACTATACATTTGATGGAAGCTATATATATATATA